AAATAATTTTACCTTGTGTGAATTGAAGGATTTTTTTTCCCTCCTCAAATATTGGCACCATGTGCTTCCATGAGAGAGTTGCATTGGTCGTGATAGTTATGTGGGCCTGTTAGTCCTTGCCAAAAGAGAATGTGTGAGATAAGTAGCCACAATGATTTTTTAAAAAGTTCTACCCAGAACCTCATGGTGCTGAGACCCAGGACTGCTGTTAGATGAAACAAGTTGCTTCAATGGGTGAGTTCAATCACTTCTCAGTGGGAATGTGAGTTTGAATGCTGCATAGAAGTAAGGCATTACATTTTATGGAGAAGTAAAATGTACGTAATTCTTGCTTCGATGGTGCTTCCAGTCATTTGATTATGGCGTGCCATTGACAGCATTCACCAAGCCCTTGGCCAGACTGTGCCTTGCTCCCAGCTAGAAGAGGGAGCAGGTGGTGAGTGGGCTGGGATGAGAAAAAAAAAGAATTAATATGCCAAAAAGCCCCCCAATGTTTATAAAGTGGAAAGGATTGTCTTGATATTATTAAGCACACCTTCAAATAGACTATCCTTAGCTTGGATCTGCAACAGAATTCAATATTCATTGACAATTGATTCAATTAACTTTAACAGAGTTCTGATTGGCAGACGTGAAAGCGGTGATGTGATTGTGTTAATGTAGTTTGTATATATTTGTGTTAAAAATTTAGAAACCTATTTGAATGCCTTTCTTTAAAATATACATTGTTTTGCAGGAGTTTCTTTTCATTGTAAGTGTCCTATTGATCATTTTTTAAAAAAAGAAACTCGTGCACATCTTGAATCATTTGAATTGGATTTTCAGTAATTTTTTAAAAAAATATTTAAATGTAAAGAACATAAGGTAAACCTTTTCACTATAGCTGTTTGTGTATGGTTTGCTGGAGGCAAAATGTCTTGTGTTTGGATATGATATTGGTTTAATATATTTTAAAATTCCAGATGACTAAAAATTATAAAAATTAAAATATTTTAATTTGTCTGCTGCTTACTTTTTTTTACACACTCAAATAAAGATTGAATTTGTGCTACAATTTGTTTTGTTTAAAAAAAACACAATAAAATAGATGGTGGTGTGTACAAATGGGATTGTTTCTTGTATAGTAAGTAGCTTTAGGAGCAGAACACTGGGCTCCTTCCAAATATAAATATTTTCCATTTTCCAGTTCTCAGTTTGCCATTATTGGGCATATGTAGCTGGACCTCTGCACAACAGCCAAGCTAGCAGGACCATCCGTACCATTGGTTGATAGATGGCTTTAGCAGCATGAGTGATGATAGCAGTAGATACAGCATAATCCAAAATCAGCCTGTCCTACATGTTATGGTGAGAATGCAGTGGCAGCAATAAGAATCTAAAAGATTATAAAAGGGGACGGGGGAATGAGTATGCAGATCTTCATTTTGATTCTTTAGAAATGTAAGTGAGAATTGGACGAGGTAGATAGGTGAAATGGCCTGAAATTGTTAATCTATATAAACAGAAACGTACATTTAAAATCACAGGTAGCTTGTTACTTTTCATTTTTCAAATAAACATCTAAATTATTTTAGTTCTCTTAACGGACTTGCTCAAATTAAATATTAAATTAACAAGCTTGCGATTAGGCTTATGTCTTCTGCATGAAGTAGTAGATATGTTAAAAATGCAGTACTCCCAAACTAAGGAGGTTAATACTGTGTTGATTAACCTTCATAAAAGAGCTGGATAAATGATTAAGAATGGGTTTGAGAGTTACAGAGAAAGGTGAAGATTGTGTTGATTGAATGGTGCAATGTACTGTGGTTTTTGAGCTTTTGGGGTCTTGGAAATGTCATGCCAATAAATGGAGTTGAGGAATGACCGACAACAGGATCCACTGTTTGTCATAGATTGGTACTGGCATCAGGCAGCTCTAGGATTGTCAACAGTGATTATTTAAAAAAAAAATTAGGGAGAGAAGAATGTGCCCAGACTGAAACTGATAATGCAGGATGAGCAATATGGAATATTTTCACATTAAATTAGTTGGGTAAAATTCACGATTCAGGAGGTTTTACCTGGTTATGACAGGAAAAAGTTTGATGTGCCGATTGGTCTTTTCTTACTCCATGCTTTCAGTGTTCTTATTCGAGACAGGAACCATATTGCAGATACCTGCATTTCGCCCACATATGTACAGTTAATTCACTTTACAGTATATTCTGTGAAGCGCTTTGAGACGTCTAGAAGATGTGATAAGGGCTATATCAAATGCAAGGATTATTATTATTATTATATTATTATTTGGGGCACAGATCAGTTAGAAGGCCTCTTGATTTTTTAAAAATCCGCTTGGGTTCCATGGCAGCAAATTTAAGGCATACATTAGCAGTGCCACTTTTACTGTGGCACCTGCTACATTTTTTTAAATAAACCAAAATATAGGTAAAATTGTGAAACTGCAATTTTTTCACTCTTGCTGCTTTTATTATTTGAAGCTCTAACCGTAGCCATCCTGTGAGATTTGGGGAAACAAAATACTGGCAGGGGTCAATTAGAGTAATGTCTAGATCACCAGGACCTCTGTTTATCAGAAGAAAGATGCCTTCAACAGTGCAGTATCCTCTCAGCATTGAAATATGTAGACGTAAGCCCTAGTCCCCTAGGTCTGACCTAGAGCGGAGAGCACTAGCAGATGATGTCATCTGTGTGATGTTCTCAGTGCCAACACACTGCTGGCACGGTTCCCACTGAAGATTGTACAGTGGAACCTCGATTTCTCCAACATAATGGAGGGGACATCCCCTCCCCCAGAGGATAGTTTAAATTGGTGGGATAATTGAGCTACCATTGTACTTTAAATTCCTGGTTTGATTCACAGCCTTTATTCAATTTCTTTGTCACGATACGGCTGCTGTATCAATGCCGGTACATTAGTGGTTTTGTTTCTGGTGCAATCCCTTGGCGTCTAGTTTTTTTGAGATTCTTGAAGGTTCTGAACAATAGTAGTCTGCATTTCCTGAACAATAATTTCTGCAGCCTCTAGCAGGTTAAGACACTAGTAGGTTAAGCCTTAGTCCACCTGCTGCTGGCACTAAGGATGCCTCTCCTTCTGTCTTGATGGTGGTTCTGGTCTGGTGTTAGAGCTCTGAGTAGTAATGCCATCACTGCCAGCTATCTCACAACTAGCTCTGGCCTTGGCGGTCAGCCTGCTGCCTGGGTCTAGGCAGAACCACAGCTCCAAGGATCCCCATGCACACTTGGAGAAATAAAGAAAGAATAGAGTAAGGTTCAAGAATGTTCCTGTCAAATCTATGGAACTGCCTCTCCCTCCACTTATCTCTGTACATTGTAACAGTGGTTTGAACTTCAGCACCACAGACTTTCTACCTTGTTGATAATCTAGGTGCCAATAGTGTAACAACTTGCACGTGCATAGCAACAACAACAACTTGCATTTATATAGCGCCCTTCACACTAGACGGCGTCTCAGAACACTCAGATTCGAGTCAAGTAAGATGAACATTTCAAAAGTGTTCCACAACAATGACACAAATCACCTATTAGGAAGGAAAGGACGGGGATTTAGAGGTTTATTTTTGGTCTGACAGATGAGGAAACCCATCCCCATGCTTAAGAGTATCCAAACCAAACTGAGTGTTCCATGCATCCCACCTATACATGGCAATTACAGAGATGTTTATTGGAATGGAATGTGACCTCTCCCCATGGATGGATTCACCCTTCTTGCCTAATTCCAGAGAGCATTAGGTACAGGTTGGCAAGAGCCTAGGCTTGGGGACCCTAGAATTTGTGTTGGGGTACTGCTGGGGTCTAATCAACTAAAACTGTTTGCTATTGAGAGAACTGTCTGGAAAGCTTTCCCACTGTTTGTCCAGTTTGGACCGCCCTACCGGTTAATAGGAGCTGAGTGGGAAGAGTCTCTGCCCCCAGTGACTGATCTGCCCTTCCAAGTCCTGCTGATGAGCCAGGCTGGTTATGCTGTCAACAGCAGTGCCTGAAATACTGCAGACCCGTCTGGCTCAGGAACTGGACTACCGAGATCGTCACAGAGAGCTGGCTTGATTCCGACATTCTGCCACCAAAGCGTCACCTTTGAACCAGTTCAGCTCCAAGAAGACCCCCTTACCTCGCTCCCAAGGAAGATAGTCATTAGTTGGTTATTTGCATCTGACAAATGTGGGTTTGAGCCACTAGGTGGATGGTAGATACCAGCAACTCCCTGCAAGCTTCCTGGTGGGCAACACAGGTTAGCATGAAATGCTTCAGACCATTGTCACCATCTTCCTGTCCGCAGCTCGGGCACATGTCCATTCCCATTGAGTGATGGTTCCACCAGTTGGAGATGCGGAGTTTAAGCCGCAGCTGCTTGCCTTTCTGTAAACCAGTCGAGGTGGATTCCGGGCACTGTTGACCAAAAGTACAATAAATTAAGAGAGATGTTTTTAAGAGAAAGCACAAAATGAGATTTTGGAAGAGTTCTAGAGAGTAGGGCGTAATCATTGAAGCAAAATGTTCTGACCAAGAGTACTGAATGCAAGGGGTTTAGCCAAGGACATGGGCATGAAAATGATGAAGCGAAAGGTCATCCCACCCAGGCGGGTAAGATTTGAAAAGTACAGTATCTGACTTATAAATTAGGGTTAGGATTCAGCTGAGACAATGCATTGTTTGTGCGCCTTGTGTTTTTTGTTTTGTGTTGGGTGTTAAAAATTGATGAAAATCGCAGGTCCTCCATTCGGGATTCTTCCTTCAGCGGGACTCGGCGTCCAGGGAGTATTTATTTGCAGATCTGATTCCGAAACGTGCATATGGCTGTTCAGCAGAGGCTGGAAGGGAAAGGGGAAGGAAAGGAAGGAAGGAAGGAATGAATGCTCCTTTAACTCTGTCTGTGTGTGTGTGTGTGTGTGTGCTGTGTGTGTGGTGTGGGTGGGTGTGTTATGCTGGGTGGCCAGTGGTGGCAGTAGTGAGTGCGGCTGAGTCCCCATTCCACCCATGGTTCTGTCTCGCTCTGAGCCCTGGTGCTGCTGGAGCTGCTGCTGGAGGAGCTGCTGGAGCTGCTGCTGGAGAGCTCTTGGCGCGGCGAGAACTTGGCGTCTGGTCACATTTTGCCGACAGACCGACTCCCTCGAGAGAGAGAGAGAGAGAGAGAGAGTAGGACCGTCAAAGAACTGACTGACTTCTTTTCCGCCTCTGCTACAAAATTCATCTCAAGTCACCTCTCATCAAACACTTGCAAAAGAAATGGATATGAAAAAGAGAATCCATTTGGAGCTTCGGAACAGGACGCCGACTGATGTAAGCCCTCCCCCCCCCCCCCCCCCACTAATTTTTTTGCAACTAAGAATTGTGTGTGTGTTGTGAGTTTTGTTGGTGTTACTTTTTTTTGGGGGGGGGTGGGAGGGGAGGGGGTGAATTGAAAGTAAGTCACGAATGACCCTTTGGTCACTGCATGCTTTAGCTTATTTTTTTTGCAGGGGGCACACACACACACACACACACATATATATATATTTCAGACAGGAGTTTGTAAGAGGGAGGGGGTTAATATTTTTTTAATAGTGTTTCTAGTTGTAAAAAGCGACTGGTTTGGTGAGGCAGTGGTTAGGCAGAGTTACTGTTGTGTTGCAATTTAACTATTTGAAAGCTGGGTGTTGAGGAGGAGAATAAAGGGGAACTTTCTTGCTGTAGGGGGAGGCGTATCTTTCATCTCAGGACGTGGAGGATGATGAAGAGATGGTTTTTCTCCTGGAAAATTTTTTTTTTTGCAAAAAAAAAGACTCTGGAAGCCATATTTGTAACCTAAGCGTCCTTTTAAAGACAAAACGAGTGGGGTTTGTCATCTCGCCGGAGCTTTCCAATTTCAGTGGCTGTGTTTTTTTGGGGGAAAAAAAAGTTCTTAAAAAATGACCAATTCCACCCTCCATCCAACCCCCCCCCCAAAAAAAATATATATATACACACATAAGACTCGCCGCTGTTGAGAGAGGTTTCCTCGCGGATCCAGACTACGGTACCACCCCGTTTATCGGAGCAGGAATTGGGAACACGTTGCCTCAGTATTTGGGGGACATTTGTAATAAATAAGAGCGGTGGATATTAAAACAATCGTGTTATTTGGAGCTGCACATGGAGGGGGGAGGGATTGCCGGGGATGTTTTGTTTGACTCCCCCCACACCCCCCCCCCCCACACCCCCGCTTTCCCTCCTTCACTTTTTATTCATAATCTCGCTTGAAGTGGCTTTTGAATTAAATCCAAGTGTCTTCGTACAGTTCCCAAACGCTGTCATAACCATAACCATCTGAAAAGTGGCTTGTTCGGTAAACTTTTTTTTGGAGGGGGTGGGGGGGGGGGGAGGGGGTTTGGGGGAGGGAAGAGGATCATTCTGTGCATTGTTTCCTCTCCGCCGTAGGAGAAGACGGCGGGTCGTCGCTTCCCGCCACATAAGCTTTTCAATTTCCTCCGTCTTATTTATTTGTTCAGCTTTTTCTTCACTAAATGCGACTCCCAGGGCCGCCCGTGTGTGTGTGTGTGTGTGAGGGAGTGAGGGGGGGGGGCGCTTTCTCTATTAACCGCGCTCCCAGGCTTGCGTGAAAGGGGGGGGGGAGAGAGGGGGGCATTTTGGTCCTAATGTGTGTTGGGGGGTGAGGGGTTGGCGGAAAAAAAAGCGAAGAGAAAGAGAGAGAGAGAGGGAGACTCGGTTCGGTGAGGAGTGACCTGACTCGGATCCCTCCAGCCACGCTTCAGCGCACTCGCGCAGTTCGCCATGTTGGTGGCACGTTTTTCGAGGCAACATTTTCTCCCCTTTTACTTTTTGTAATCCTCTCTCTCTCTCTCCACCCTCCTCCCTCTTGAATATACATATTTAATTTTATTTGTCAAATAATTATTATATACATACATATATATATCATATGTGACAAAAGCAACGAGCACATTAGGCTGGACGGCCGGGAACGGTCAACTTTTAATCTCGTCACGCTATGAGTCCAAACGGTTGACAAATGTAATTAATTTATTTGTATTTGTGTGTGTGTGTGTGTGTCCGTGGCCGCGCTGTGCAGGCGGTGTTTACTCGCTGGCGCTGGCGGCTGTCCTCCCGCGGCTGTTGCAGGCGCTGCCGCGCGCTCGGGGCGCCTTCCCGGCGGGTGGAACGCGGGATCCGGGGGCTCCCGGCGCCGCGTTCCAACCGCTCATTGTTCCCCGAACGCGGCATTGTCCGTCCTCACCGCCTCGCCCTCCCTCCCCGCGCGCGCCGCCGCCGCCCGGGCCGCGTTCCGAAATGGAATCCGGCGGCGGCCGCCGCCCGGGCCGCGTTCTCTCCGTGCGCGTGTGCGCGGTGTGTGTGTGTGTGTGTGTGAGTCTCCACGCGCTGTCCTTTGCTCAAGACGAGGGAAGAGGAGAAAGAAGACGTCAGGCGACGGTCATTTCTCTCTCTCTCTCTCTCTCCCCCCAACCCCCCAACCCCCCCCTCGCACACTTCGTTTCGCTCCCTTTCCGATGAGGTGCCCGGACACCACGCAAACTGTGCAACTGCTACCTCTTGCAATCTGTGACAGCTGTTTGTTTCGAAATAAAATGCCTTTTTTTGGGAAAAAAAATCTTAGCGGTTTCAATACTGTCAAATACCAACAAAACAGGGGGTGGGGAAGGAGGAAGAGATTTGGGGAATTAATGCATCAGCTCTTTCCAGCCACCAGTGAGTGGACCAAATTGCACCATTTTGAAGCTTCTTTGCAAATAAACTTGATGCTTATCACATATTTCAATTTATTTTACATTACATCTTGAAAGTCATTGTTTTTAGTAAAGCTTCTCTTTTTGAATTTGCGATTATTCTCATCAGATGGAGAGAAAAAAAACAACTCATCTAATTGGAAATGGTGCGTTATTTAAATTATATATTTTTGAAAAATGCTTTTAATTGTTACCTCTACTGGGTAATTTTAATTTTTAGCAAGATTAAATCTTGCAGTCTACCGAAAATGTTTGTAGCACAAGTCTTGATGGTTATTTGAGAAAAATCACTCCTTTTCATGGCCAATAAAGCCAGTAATGTTTTTCGCAATGTAAATCATGATCCATTAGAACGCATTTGTCATGTGAAGAAGCTTGAAGCAAACATTCATGATTAAACTGGCACATGGAGGTCTACTTTGCTGAAAAATCAGTTAGTGTGACATCTGCTGTTCAGTATAATCTGACCAAATTGGTGGTATGGTAAACCAGATGCACTTGTGGACTTGATTTTACAGTGGGCCTGATTGGGGGGGGAGGGGGTGTAGCCCGACTGATAGAACTTTGCAGAGGGATGGACACCACATCGCCCCCCCCCAGCAAGATCATTTTCTAACCACACTTTCCCTCCATCGTGTAGTGCAGCTGTTTCATTCTGCTTTCCATCACTGCTGCAATTAATTTGTTTTTTTTAAAAAAATTGCCCGCGAGACTATGCTATGTAATTGGGCAGGACTGCTAATTATCTTTGTATATTCCAATGCTGAGCCATCATTATACCTACCACTGACTCAGTCTGAATGGTGCACTGCTTTTACCATGTAACCAACTGGGTTTCCAAAATTAGTACATTGGTAGCAGTTTTATCCCTGGCTGTCGAAATGTTTTGAAGCTTAAGACCGATCTTAACAGCAAACAGAAGTTTTTGCCATCTACTGTACTTAAAATTGATTTATGGCTTCATATTTTTATTTTCTAATGATAATTGTATTTTGCCAAAGTTGAGAAAGTATTCCACGACGATTCTCTAGTGGGTAGTTGTTTTGTATCCACACTATTTAATTCCACTTTCCTTATATTACAACATAAACCTGTGTGTTGATACAGGACAAAGAGGACATTGACAGGTGATCTGTTTTCAGACCTCTTAACAATATAACTCTTATCATTCGTTCATTTAAAAGTGAAGTTGTGCTCTGTGTGTGTGTGTATCTTGCTTTTTCAGTGTATTTCAGCAATTTTGTACATTTAATGGTATTATTACTGGGGATGACATTTTCAGGTGCTGGTATGAATTCATATGGTGCCAGTCTGCGGTGGACTGAGGATGCAGGCAAGATCTTGCAAGAGAGCTTGATGGGTTATGCACTTGGGTTGATCGCTGGTGAATGCAGTTGAATATTGCCAAATACAGAGCACTGTGAATAGGAAGTAAATAGGAGGTATTTGTACTCTATGGATGAACGGAACTTGCTAAGGGCGAGTTAAAATAGACCTAGATATGAGATGGCAGTAAAATGGGAAAGTTTCCCCAGAAGTCATGCTCAAGTTGTACATTACTCCATGAGATTGTACCTGGAGTGCTTTGTACAATTCTGATGGTTGAGACATTAAGGGATTGTTCAGGCCTTCAAGGTAGAATGACAATAACAAGTTGCGTTTATATAGCGACCCTCATGCAGGGTAGCTTCCCAGAGCACTTGACTGGTGGAACACGATGCGAGCCAGGGGGAGGTGATCATAGGCACGGTCGAAGAGGAAGGTCTTCAGGCATGTTATAAAGATGGAGAAGAAAGAGACAAAGTGGAGGTATAGTGGAAAAGTGTTCCAGAGTTTGGGGGTGTAGTGGCTGAAAGCATGGTCACCGATGGTGGAACAGAGGGCATGAGGGACATGCAGAAGGCCGGAGCCATTTGAGCGGAGGCAGCTGGTAGTGGGTTGGGAAGTAAGCAGGTTGGAGAGGTGGGGATATGGAGTTTAGCACGGGTGAATATGCGGGTGGTGAGATTTTGGATCAGCTGGATTTTGTGGATGGTGGAGCTGGGGAGATCAGCGAGTATGGCATTTGAATAGACGAGGTGGGAGGTGATGAACACGACTGTCGATGATAAAGAAGAGCATTGAAGCTGATCCTCAGGTCTAGAGGATTGATCAGTGAGGAAATGGCTAGTTAAACTAAGGCAGTAACCTCAGAGATGTCGCGGGGGAGAGAATCTTGCAATAGTGTACAAGGTGTTCAACTGGACAGATAAGTAAATCAGAATGGTAAAGTAAATAGGGATGGTACTTTCAGGTACATCAAAGCCAACAAGGTACAGATTAAGCATTCCGAAGAGCAATTTTTGGGATGAAACCTGTGTTTGTTAGATATCAAATGACCAACTAGTGATTATCCTCGTTGGGTGTTGGAGGAGACGTAAACGGGTCTCCGTGGAGCTGTTGGGCTCCAGGGTGATGTACTGGGTAATGGAATATCTGAATCGAGTCAGTCCTCTGTGGTGGTCTTAGTAGGCCCCCTCTTGAGCCAGACGGGTCCGTAGCACTCCAGGGCCCTGCTGA